GGGGTGGGGGGGGATACCATTGGGGAGGGGGGGTGGCGGGGGGGGTGGTGGATGCTGGCGCATATATAGTAAATAATAGGTTTCCCCAATATAGTAACTTAATTTAAGTTCCTTAACAGCAACCCAGTAGTGTTGGAAGCCCCGACATAGGGTGGTGCAGAAGTGCTTTCATCCGCAGGAGCAATGTTTCGCACACATCTCCAGTAAGCAGTGCACATTTGGGCAGGCCTCTGGGATATTTAGTATTTTCTCTAATGGCTTTAATCAGGGACCCTATACACTAATGTGTTTCAAAGGGTTATAGGGGCCAACCCAGACATTCAGAGCGCTCTAGAATGTTCTGTTTCCACGGTCTCAAGGTAGGGGTCCTCTTAAGAATTTCAGCAGGAGACCTTGAACCCAGAGCTCTGAAATCCGAAAATGATACGGTGGATACTAGAAATCCTGCATGACCCTAAGTACCTTATACCTTGGGAGTAATGGGACTATAGTATATTAAGGTCATGCAGATTTTTAGTATCAACAGTATGCCTTGATTGGGGTCTCTCGGAAGTGTTGAGAGCCCCAAATCCCGCATCCCCAAATCCTCATCCCAAAGCTCCAGTCCCTACATCCCATCATCGCCTGTAAAACAAGTCCAACCTCCCACCCTCATTTGAGTAGTATTTTATTTGGGGATACTATGGTACCCAATAATAGAGTAAGATTCTATCCTCCTTTTGGGGTATAGTATTTTATATAAGGAATATTATCTTGCTAGGTTCAATCACAAAAAAGCACTACTCAAATGCTGAAAGGTGATTTCCCGCCCTTGTGTGACGAAGAGATCGTCTCCCAGACTTGCCATCACCTAAACGGAGATGGTCGCGGCATCCCGGCTGTGATGCCTTTTTTTTGGTGGGTCCTATGGGGATTCTAAAGGTATCACAAGCCTAAGGAGTCTAGATTTAGGCTTAAGGATTTGGTAATGGGGGTTTGGTTTGGTTTATGGATTTGCAATTGGGGCCTCTCAAAAACCCGGGTAAGCTTGAAGATGCCAGGGATCTATAGTTGAAACGGGAACATGTCAAGATTGTGGGTGCCTTCCTACTGGAGTCTACAGAGCAGGCATGTTAGTATCTTCATGCTTTTGAAGGGGTACCTACTTCTGACAGCTGTCAATATTAGCTGCAGTCAACATGCCTTGTTGCACACGTGAACAAACCCTGTCAGAATCTCGCAGAACGAAGGTCACGTCTCTGCCCAAATAATGAATCCGCAAATGACGTATGGTCCCTTAATAGATGATGGTACTATACTAGTAGTAATAATACTAGTAATAATACCAGTAATGATATTTCTTGCTGCTTTGGGGCTGGGCGCGCTGCATTGTTAGGGGACAGGATTACCGTGCTTCTCGGATGTCCACTTGACAGGAAGAATCCTCTGAGTGGAGGTCTATCCATGGCTCCACACAGGCTTAAGAGAAGCTTTTTAATACCCTGAAGTGTCTACAGCAAAGATTACCGATACGTCGGTTTCCTTTGGTATCCGCAAAGAAACAGGACACCGAACTTGGACGAGTATCCCTACTAAGAAGTATGCGGCCACAGTCATAAGGACGGGTTAGCGTTAGGTTTACCGTTGGGTATCACAAAGAAAGGGGCCCTTGCCTAAGATGGAATGTAAGATGGAACCTCAAAAAGCCCCCAGCATTACAACCTCGGACTTCCACATGAGTTCTAGTCCAAAATCCTAGTATCCCCTCAAATAACCCCCACAGTAGTCCCCTGCAGAATCCCATGTATAACCCCGTGAGGGTAGTTAGCTGTTTGACTGCCTCCAGGCTTGGAGATCCAAAAGCATCATCTGGCCAATGCTCTCTCCAAGACAGACCTGGAGATGCAACTTTTCTGGTGCTCTGACCTGCTAAAGCCTCTAGCAAGACTGTATTTGGGTCTGAATACTGTTTAGGTTTGAGATTGAGGGTTTAGGGTTCAGGGTTTGGGGTAATAAGTTAATAAGTCTCTATACGATCTACACATCATAATCTGCAGGACCGTCTCATCAAGCGGAGACATGCGGAGAAGGATTGCCTCAAACCCTAAGGGTCCAAGTACCTAAGCATCATATACTTACCCCAAGGCTGTACTGTAATTACCATTGGGTACCTGGACCCTTTTGGGGAAGACAGTAGTTTCCATTTCCTTTGGTTTACCTGCCCCGAGGGGTGACCTCGACCTCGTGGAGGGCGAGTCAGTAGCCTGCAAAGACCTCTGCACCGCTGTCACCGAGTATATCAAGGACCGAAGAACCAGGGAAACACATTTTCCCAATTGTTTGCAGTGCATGTTGTTGCCCAGTTGTTTTTCAAACATGTCTGACCAGGTGTTTGGTATATCACGGGCGCCCTACTCGAAAGCTGCCATCAGCATGTAATCCCCAGTCCACCCACAAATGGGCCCATGATTTGAGTCCCCTCATTTTGGGGGTATCGGTTTGTGGCCTTAGTCTTGCGAAGCCCTAAACCCCAAATCCTCCTCCTCTCCCACCCAATGTAGGATCCTCCACTCACCAAATTGGTGACTTTAGGACTGGCATGTTCTCCCACCGCGCAGCGACATCGCCTGCTACACCATTGGAAGGAGGCCAGGTAGTAGTAGTAGTGGTAGGAAGCCATGCAGATGCATGTTAACTTGGACATTTCTGAATGTGGCTCTTTCTCGGCGACTTGTAAACGCCAATCCTGAGGTTCGTGCGCATAGGGGCCTTTGATGAGTTTCTCAGGAGTCTCCCTCTAGAATCCTTCACGGGGAATTTCCCCGCATATCCCAACGGTCCCCCAAGGTCAGCCCCATTATTCTCGCCTGAGCCATAGGCTAAACTCCAAGTATTTCCGTTCATGTCCGCCCTATAGTTGTCCCCTAAATAATATAACCCCCCCAATACAGGAGTTTAGACTATAGCTCATCTGATGCGGAGAGGTGGTTCTGCGATGTAGACGTGAGACCTGCAGCGCTGAAGAGCGTTGGCCTTCCGCAGGATCAGCTTGCTGGAAGCTATTTAGGGTTTAGGGTGGCTTAGGGTCAGCTATGGGTTGATAATGCACCAGTAGTGGAATGCCAAATGATGAATAATATGGAAAATCAGATGGAAACTGCTATTCATGGCTGTGGGTTTAGCGGGGAGGGATATTACCACAAATAATGGAGAAACAAATGGAAGAGAACATGGAAGATGACATGCAACACGGAATGGAAACTACTATTTAGGGTCTCGGGCTTAGGGATATTGCCACTAATAATGGAGAATCAGCTGCTTAATTTTGGGCTTAGCGTTCAGGGTTTAGGGGTATTACCCCCAGCAGTGAAGAATCAAATGGAAAAAATGCAATGGAACCCCTGGGTCCCTCCAAGGGGGTTTATAAGGTTGTATAGAGTATAGAGATAGAAAAAGGTGTTTTGGTAACTCCAACACCCCAAAATTAGGACCTTGCAACAGTCATATGATGGTTATAGGGTCCTAATGTTGGGGGTTGGGCTTACTAAAATCCCCTTATTAAGATATACATCAATGATGGAGAATCACATGCAAAGGAAATGGATAATGACATGGGCACCTTGGTAATGTAGTGAGTGAGAAGGTTAGGGGTTAGAGATTATTACTTTGATAATAGAGAACCACGAGGAACTGACGTGGAAACTTATGCGATACAAGGAATGGACTATAAAATGGCAGCTACCATGGCATTGGTATTATTATGGTTCAGGGTGGTTGGTAGGGAATGGAGCGAAAAGAGCATGGGAACTCCTTTGTTGAAACCTATATGAGGGATTATGTAGGGTACTTTCGGCATTTGTTTCTCCATTCCCCACTAACAACTATAAAGCCAGTTGGCATTTGCAAATCACGGGCCCTTTCTGGAAGTCTTCACCGACTTTCCGCGTATTTTGGGCTTAGCTGTTGGGGCCACTGGAATCTACATGATCCTCTGCATGATCGCAGCAGTAGCAGGCACAGCTTACATGAGCCTACTGGCTAAAGCGAGAGGCCCTAAGAGTTTGGGTTTTTTGGGCCTATAGACCCTAAACCCTAAACCCTAATAGGGTTCAGGGCATGTCTAGACTTTAAAGTTGCGGTGGAGGGCCGGTGTAGAAACAAGCGGAGATTTCTCAAAACAAGCAGGCCTATATGAATGTTCCCAAGAACGAGGGTCCCAAATGTGTTGGGTCCCAGAACATTATAATCCTTGCCGCGGGGACTCCTCAAAGGAAAGGTGAACCATTTGCTTCCCTTAGGCACCATCCACTTGCTGGCTGTGAGTAGGTAATGGACCAATGGAGGACTGCATCCCTATACTAGCCGCCATACAATCTCCAATAAGATGACAGTTTCCGGATTCCGTTCCGTGAGCTCTAAATCCGAAGGCCTAAACCTCAAGATAAGACCCTGGATAGTAACTTCCGTGTTCCTTCTTCTCGTTCATGGCCTCCTAACAACCAGCAAGCTGACCTTAAACCCTATGTGCATTTATGTACCCCCCCCTAAACCCTAAACCCTAAACCCTAAACCCCCCCCAACTTTGCTGAGCTTCCATGGATTCCTTGGAAGGATGCCTCCCTCCATCTACTTGATGATTGCCACGTAGTATGGGGTCTAGGGTTCAGGGCAAGTTCAGGGCTTAGGCATATATACCCCATAGGGTTATACAGGGAATAAAGGAACATAAAATGAAAACAAATATATTCTTCATATAGGGCTTGTATAGGGATGTATAGGGATAGGAATGTGTAATTTTTCACCCACAATAGTGGAGTAGAGAACGGAAGATGAAATTCAATCGACCATGCACTTCAGGGCTTCGGGTAGGGAATGAATGTCGCATGGAAAAACCCTAAGGGCCCAAGGACCCAAATAATAGGGTTTTAGGGCCCAAATACCATTAACAATGATTTTGTCATATATGGGCCCTACAACCCTATTATTTGGGTCCTTGGACCCTTGGGGAAACAAATGGATAATGAAGTCCGTGAAACGGTTATAGACTAACTACAGCATCATGTGGGGTTTAGGGTTTACTTTCAGGGGCCTTAGTAAGTAAGTGGAGAACTGGGGTTAGAGTATGGCCTACAGGGGATAAGTATTTCTGCTAATCACCACTTATGCGGTCTAGGGGTTTAGGGTTTAGGGTTTAGGGTCTAGGGAAATTTGTGGAGGAGCAGTTGCAGCATTGGACAGGAAGCAGCCTTTTTGGAGAGTGTCATGCTCGCCCCCAGAACCCGAAGCCACAATCCTAAGCTCTAAACCTTAATGTCCAGTGACTGTGCAGGAGGCTGACATTCCCGACCTGCATGATGATGAAAGTGCAGAACCTCGCTTGTATCGTAGAACCTGAATCTTTGGGATGACTTGGGCTATGAGTAGGGTATACAGGGGTATGTGGCGCCTGGGGTGTCCGTTACACATATATATATATATAGTATTCATATTCATATGTGTGCATACTGGACCTGCTCTGGCTTTTGTGTATTCCCCCAGGTGGCCGCAATGGTGGTTCATGAAACTGACGCGTTGCTTCATTGTGGTGGTACGTAGGGCCCCGAAGCTTTGAAGCTCTGCAAGAAATTACAAATCTTAAAGCGTCAAAGCCAGTCATCCTAGCACCCTCTGCATCTCTATGGACCCGAAACCGCATTTCACAGCTCTTGTCTACCACGCAGGTGTGCGATTCTCATCTGAGCACTGCCACAAACCGATCATGGCTTTCAGATAAGATCTACTAGCATGGGCTAAGGACGATTCTTTGGGCAGATTATTGTTCTCATGTTGTGTACGGGCCTTAAGCTGCATACAACTTGGAACTTATTCAAGAGATCCGCAGCCCCAATCCCGGCCGGCAGCATAACCATTGTCAGGACTGAAGGGCCAGATCTCCATGAGTAGTCCCTACACAATCTTATGTCATCATTCGTACGTGCATTGCCCAACGCTTTGCTCTCCCTCTCCGCCTCCAAACCCTCAACCTAACACTCGTAACTTTACACCCGAAACCAAATACACAACCCTAAACCTCTCAACCCCCAACATTTTCTCGAAACCACAAGCGCCGGAGAGTAAGTGGAAGCTCAGGAGGCAGGCCAGGCGATGGTAGGCCTGGCAAAATACCGGCAGCGAAAGCCGGCTATTTGGCAGCGCTGCGGGGTTTGATGTTGTGGTTTCCCCATCTAACCATTCAGTGGGGCACCTTGGGACGGAGGGGGGTATTTGGGGAATCCACGAGTTTGGGATTTTCCTGCCTCAGCCCTAAACCCTAAAGCCCTAACCCTAAGTTCAAGGGGCGCACATGTAGAGCCTTGGATGTTGTCTCAATCCACTGCCAAAAATCACAGAGCACGAAATAGTAGCTACAACAGAGACTCTGACAAAGTGCAGACGTATGAGCTTCGGGTCGGATGAACCTTTTTTTAGTGTTTGTTTAATGGACAAAGCGCATGAAGTCGGGCAGTGATAGCAGAGTAGGATTATGTCAAAAAGCCCATGAAGAGATCGATGGACGGTTTCTTGACAAGGAGTCTCGAGTTGAGTCAGGGGGCGGGGCATTTCCAGATGCAAACTGCGGCAATGCTACTAGGAGTCTTTCGTTCCCTTTGACGGAAGCAACATTGACAAGAATCGGACGCTGAACATGGAAAGATTCGCTTTCGTAGTGACAGGCCGCAAACGAGAACAGCCATATGATAGTCACAGGACCCCTGTTTTGCGGGTTGGGGTTCAAGAAAGCCCTTATATGTTTTCAACAGAATTCTACCTGCATGCGAGTGTGCAACTTAAACTTATCATGCTGGGGATGCAACATGCACCTAGTCTGAAATTCCATCTAGGTGGTTTCGGGTTTAGGGTTTGGGGTTGCTACCGGCGTGTAGTATCCCCTGCTCGGCTGAATCTGAGTTGAAAACGGATTTGATGCCTATTCTGAGACACTTGCAGTGTAGAACTGTATTACAGGTAATCCCTTCATACTCGAATTAAGCACGCCCGCGCACCTAACGTTCAAGGTCTTGCAGTATATAATGTCTCTTAGGCTTCACATGAGGGGCCTCAGGTTGATATAAAGGATAGGGGAGTATGGACGTTTGTAGAGCTGTCAACCTTGCACTCATATTTAGCACCCTCTCGATTTTACAGTCTCGGTTCCCCTAGGGATCTAAGTCTATCCACATTGGGGCCCCAAAGTCTATGATGTTACCTACATTGGGCTCTTTGGAGCCCTATAGGGCTTACTCTCATTTCCACTTTCCAGCCTC